AAACAAAATTTATTGTTTACAGTTTCAGAGGCTGGGAAGTCCAGTCCAGGGAGCACTTATGGTGAGGGCCTTCTTCGGTGGTGGCTTTACAGCAATGCAGGGGTCTCACATGGCAGAAAGTGGCAGAGCACAGAGTTTCACTGCTCTCCTTTGAAAGCCCTCAGAACCGTGCCCATGACCACCGTTTTTAATCCATTCACTAGGCATGGTCCTCAGAATCTAATCACATCTTCAAGGCACCACCTTTCAATGACCATAATAGGATTTCCCACCCTCTTAACAGTCACAGAGGGGATCAAGCTACTGATACATAAAACTTGAGGGATACAATCCGTATCAGACCTCCAAACATCAGTGTCTAGAGCCAGTCAGTCAGGTACCTGGGCTCCACCCTGTTCTTTTCCCACTCTGCTGCACTACTGTCATTTTTTTTTCACCACTGACCTAATCTAAATCCTAGGCTGCCATGGTTCTCCCTCCAATGAACCGCACCTTATATATATCAGAAAAGGAAGTGGTACAGCTCAAATTGCTATTGCTATTAACTTAATTATTATTATCCTCTAAACTCTCTAAAGCTGACAGTTTTCATTGTAAAGATCTTTTCTCCTCTCCCCAGAAAAGCACTTGGTCCTGCTTCGAGATGGAAGGACACTTATAGGCTTTCTAAGAAGCATTGATCAATTTGGTATGTAATAATTCTGGACTTTTCGTTCTCATACTGTGGAAAATAAGAGCTTCTCATTGCATTTTTTGTTTTATTTCATATAGAAATTTATTTATCTGCACCTTTTTCACGTGTCTTGCATGATAGAACTGTTTTAAGTGAGTACATCATGGTTTTCTATATTATAATTATATACAAAAGCCTGTATATTTACAAGCTAGTCTTTCTAAAACTAGTTTTTGCTAGAACATGTGATTACAATGTTCTAGACTATTTTTTTATTTCCCCCATTAGAGGGAGCCAAATGATAGAAATAAACTCAGTCCACGGAAAAGGGACTCATTTGTACATTGGTTTGGGTGCATCTGCTCTTTAAAGCAGTTCCTGCACTGAAGTTAATCCATCCCTGTCCAATGAAAATTGGGTAGAAGGCATTTCCCAAAGTTTTTTAGGGACTACACCTTTAAGCTCAATATTTTACATACAGGGATACATCAGAGTACATCCACTTAGGAGTCTCAGTCTTTATTTTACACTCTGCATTTTTCTAAAGTAAGAGATCTATTTTTCCTTCTGTTTCAAGGAATTTCTCAGTTCGTGTCCACATCTGTTGGACATCTGCTAGGTCACTAGATTTGGCCATGAGGAAAAATAACATAATTGAAACGGTTATAAGAATTATAGAATATACAAGTATAGATTTCTGCTTTATTTCAAATAAGACTATTTCTAATTGAGAGAAGAAAAATAATTACTCTTAACAGATTAGGATTCCAAATCTTAAGTAAAATTCATCAGAGAGGGCTAGCTAGTTAGTTCAGTTAGAGCACTGGGTTCAGTTCTAATTATTCGTCAGTGTACTTTTTTTTTTTTTTTTTTTTTGCTGGCCAGGGTAGGGAACTAAACCCTTGACCTTGGCGTTACAAGGCTGTGCTCTAACCACCTGAGCTAACCAGCCAGCCCATCGAGTAATTTGAGGGATAACTAGTAAATATTGAGTTTATTCTCATTTTACCAGGTATGGTTATCTGGCAAGGTAAAAAAAAAAAAAAAGGTTTTTACTGTTCCGTGATCCATGGATGTTGGTTTAAATGAATCCTAAGTACTGGAACCAAGTTATATCTTCAGTAAATAATCACATACATATACCTACACAACAAAGAAAAACAGTTTCCTTCCAAAAACCAGTTTTAATCTCTGCAGTTGTTTGCACTCAAGTTTTCCAAGTTCCCTATTCATTTATATTTTCTTGTGGCTATGTTGATATTAGCAATTAACTAATAAGAGAAATTTACTTCTCTTAACTTATCCCTACCATCATTCATGTATTAGCACAACATATTCCCAAATACTCTCTCAGTTGGTAGTTGTTGAAAAGTCTCCTAAGTGTTATGTCTTAGTCAGTGAAACAGAATATTATTTGAAATTTTAGCTTTTCCTAGAAATAGAAAGTTTTAAAATCATGTTTAAGCTAAATCTTTTCTACTCAAAATAACTGATGAGTTGAGTTGTGGACCTCTACCCGCTAATTTGAACTAAACATCTTTGTTTCTTCCTTATGCACTTACAGCTAACTTAGTGCTGCATCAGACTGTGGAACGCATTCACGTGGGCAGAAAGTATGGAGATATTCCTCGAGGGATTTTTGTGGTCAGAGGAGAAAATGTGGTCCTACTAGGAGAAATAGTAAGTGAAAACCGTTAAGCTGCTATGGATCTTGATATTTGTGCTAGTTAGGTTTCTTTTTGTCTTTTCAAGAAGAATAAAAATATTTTCCAATTTCATCCAGCTTCTCACAGGCAACCACCGAATTAACTTAGGCAAGCTATGGTTGTAAAAGGGAAGCCACAGAGAATAATTAACTTTGTTTCAGTGCTTTTTGTCATTTTTAAGATTTTGATCCCACTGACACAAATTTCATTGGTTTTACCTGTTACCATAAAAAATTCTGTTCTATACAAATGTGTTCATTAATATATTATTTCTGTTCTCTCTAATAGCAGAAAATTGAAAAAGCTTGATTTCTAAAGTATGATTTATATATGATAGAATATTTTGCAGTCATTGAAACAATTGGTTATGACAATATTTGAGGGAAGGACACAGTGCATATACGATGGGATATTCGTGTTTTTCAGTGGGGAAAGAATGGCTGTAGGAGCCTTTCTGTTACCTGTCCTGAGAATGGAGCTCAGTTTCACTAGGATCCTTAGCTCACAGCCCAGGGAGGACATACCAGTGTGTCTGTGCCAGAAAGACCAGCTGGCAGGTGAAAGGTTAAATCAAATCTTTTGAAGTATTACTGCTGTAGACCTTTGTGTATGTGTGTGTACGTACATACATACACATATATGTACATAAATGCATATTTATGTGCAAAACTATTAGAAAACTATGCTATGTATATAACTATTAGAAGCACCCAGACATTTTTTTAAAGTATCTTATTTAAACCTTTGACCTGACCCTGTTGCTTCTGATTGTTAAGTTTGTCAGGAAAACCAAAATCCCTTCAAAATGAGTTGAAGTTAAGGGCTGAACGTTCACAACACAGTTTTCCTGTTCCTTACAAAAAACTTTGACGTTTGCTTAATTTTTTTCCTGTTTTTTTTTTTTTTTAATGTTTTCAATGAAGTTTCCCAGTACCTAGCCACTCCTTAAATTAGTTTACAGAAGTCTTTGAGAAGAGTGGTTTAGTTCATAGCTATTTTTAATAGTAAGCCACTTCAGAAAGTAAGGAGTGAATTCTGCCAGTGTCGGGTTGATTCAGAGATCTCATGTTGGAAACATTCAGCTAGAAATGACCAATCAATACTATCAATACTGCCCACATACTCCTGTGAAATGTATGAAATACCTTTTTTTACTTATGAAATACTTTAATGCTTGGTACTTTTGGTTTAGTTTATCATTTTTTGCATGTTGAAGCAGCAGAAATTGTCATCTCCTTGTATTAAGTAAAGGTTGAAATAAAGCACCCTAGTACCTGAGGGGCAGAGGGTAGAGTGAATGACTGTAAAGAGGTCTGCCAGTATATTAAAGGGAGCAACCCGTGTCTGGATGATGGGATTATGGGTGACTTTTTAAATTACTTTCCTGAATTTATTTATTTATTTATTTGGCAGCTGGCAGTAAATCTAATTTTTAAAGAGGAAGCATATTACTTTGATATCAGGAGAAAAGACCTAAAATATTTATACATACTCTGCTTCAGTGTTATAGTAGTAAACACAACAGACGTGCTTTCTGTACTAGTGATAATGGCACAGAGGTGCATCTGTGTAGATGTATGTGTATGTGCAGAGAAAGAAGTGAGTGTGTGTTTGTTCTTGTAGATTCGTTGTTTCCTGGGATCCCTTTTGTGAGGAAAAGTACTTTTTTTATGTTATGGTTTGAAAGTTTTACAGTGGTACCACTAGAGAAACATGGTTCAGAAATGCTTACGTGGTTATATGAATCAACAGAAACTTTGAAGATATCATGTACCAACCCCAGGGAAACTCATACCCGGAAACCATTTAGATTCTATAAACATTACATTGCCTTAGAAGTCCCTGGATTCTGCTTCAAGGATGATCATGCACACAGCCTTAGGTAATAAGACTGATTGTTGGGAAGCAACCACATCATAACCACATCAATAATATAGTGAAAAGCCAAGAGGCAGTACACTAAGCTAAGAACATATCTTCCCTTCAGCTGCTACCCATGGGTTGTGAAGGCAGGTGTTAAATGGTGATATATATTTTGCTGGGTGCTGCTAACTGTTGAGCCAGGGCAGGGCTTGCTTATGTAATTTGTGTGGCTTTCATCCCCTCTTGAGTGAGAATTCTTCATCCGATAATGCCACTGCCTGTGGGTTCTGAGACCTTGGCAGTATGTGTTATGATTAGTGTCCAGGCTGGAACATCTGAAGAACTGGTGTATGTATCAGTGCCCTCCCAAACTTTATAATTGAAAGTTATAAAAGAGGATGAGAAACAGGAATACTTTGTGTAGGCTTACCATGTTATAAAAACATATAATACCACCTGTATGTTCATTTTAAAGAGAATAAACCGAATCTGTGGATAGTGTTATAATTTTATAGCAAGGTTGTTCTGCATTATGAAATTGGTTATCAAATGTTTATAAGGTTTTCAAAAATAAAAATATTAAGCATATTTTGCCACCTTAAATGGAAAAAAAAACAAATTACAGTCAATATTAACATTGTGAGTTTTTTTTAAATCAATATATACCTAAAAAAACTGTAAGGATATTCACCAAAACAATCCTCCATACTGGAATTATGGATAACTTTTAAGCTTTTTTTGCTTGTCTATTTTCTAAATTTCCTACAATGAGCATGTATTTCTGAAATAAGGAAAAAGAAAAAAATTTTTATTAAACAAAAATTTTAAAGTTAAAATGGTGAAGAAATAAATATATTGAGGCCACAGTGTTTTAATAACCTAACCGGTCTGCTGAGGTTTTCTCTAGAAGACTTGTTTCCACAGAAGGGAAAAGAGTCATGTGTTATAATTTAGAGAATCCCAATTAATGCCACAGGGATGGTTTATTGTCTTTAAAGAGGTGGAAGGGGTGGTGGTACAAATTTGAGTCGGTGTTCTCTTCCTTCTTACTGAGAAACCACCCCCAGAACTTAAGTTGACTTTGATAAAGTAAAAACACACAACTTATCTCAAGCTTCTTGGCCTCAGTAATTTCTCTCTTGGATTCTCTACAGTTGAGGAGATAGATGTCTATAATCAGCCCTATTTTTTTTTTTTTTTAAAAGATGACCGGTCAGGGGGTCTCAACCCTTGGCTTGGTGTTGTCGACACCACGCTCAGCCAGTGAGCAAATCGGCCATCCCTATATAGGATCCGAACCCGTGGCCTTGGGGTTATCAGCACCACACTCTACCAAGTGAGCCATGGGCCGGCCTCCTATTTTTTTTTTTTTTTTAAAAGATGACCGGTCAGGGGGTCTCAACCCTTGGCTTGGTGTTGTCGACACCACGCTCAGCCAGTGAGCAAATCGGCCATCCCTATATAGGATCCGAACCCGTGGCCTTGGTGTTATCAGCACCACACTCTACCAAGTGAGCCATGGGCCGGCCTCCTATTTTTTTTTTTTTTTTAAGAAAGTTAATCCTTGACTGATAAGAAAGTTAATCCTGACTAATGTAGGATTTTGAATAACCTAAAGATTTGTTATACACACTGATACCGATCCCTATTACCATAGTCACAGTAAGTATCCTGTAGTAGAGTTCCAGCCGTTTCTTGAAAAAACTTCCATCCCCAGGAGAAGGATATTTCAGCCCGGTCACAGTTATGAAAAAGAATCTGAGCCTGACATGGGAATCTTTTTGCCTTTAGGTCTGTAATGTTTTTATTCTTGGTCTTCAGGTGAAGTTTTTCCAACCTGCTTGTTTTGCAGGACTTGGAGAAGGAGAGTGACACGCCCCTGCAGCAAGTGTCCATTGAAGAAATCCTGGAAGAGCAAAGGGTGGAACAGCAGGCCAGGCTGGAGGCAGAGAGGCTGAAGACTCAGGCTCTGAAGGACCGAGGCCTCTCCATTCCTCGAGCAGACACACTGGATGAGTACTAAGTCTTTTGCTCAGAGGCTACTGCTCTTGGAGAGCAAGGCCTGTCACTGCCAAATGAAAGTGACGTCCTGGTCACCTCACACATTTGTCCAGGACTGCAGAGTTATGAAAAGTCATTTTTATTTTTAATTCTTTCACCTATGCAACATGAAGAAATCATATGGTTTTTTATTTTTGCTGTTTTTTAAGTAACAAGATCATTGTTTAAAGAAACAGTGGCATGGATTCCTTTTACACGTCACTGTGGGTCCAGCAACTATTTCTTAATACTGTTTTTCTTATCCCAAATTAGAGTTTACAGGGGACAGTCTTCATTTACTTGTAATTTTATTTACTTGTAAATAAAATATGAGCCTCAAAACTGTCATGTTCTTTACCAAGTTTGAGTTGCCTCTAATGAACAGGAAATATTAAGTTTTTCCTCTGAGAAGGGTACCTCTGAGAGCAAAGGCACCCCACACACTGGGATCCCCCCTTCATCACCAGTCCAAGTAGCTGACTACTTAGGAAGAAATTTTTTTTCTTTTTTGCTTTTTAAGCCAGTCAAATTTAGCAATGGGCCCCTTTAGTTAGCTTTTCTAGTGCTTGAGCCTCTTGTGCTCTGATCATCAAAAAGGAGCATAAATGGAGTTGTAGTGACTGACAACTTATAGTGATGCCACTTTGTTGGTGTGATTGTTGAGTAGTGACTGCATAGTAAGTATAACAGGAAGTAGTGTGGCTTAGTAGAGAGTAGACTAAACTAGTAGTTAGTATAAAATTGGCTCATTGGCATGTTAGGCTTGAGTAAGTCAGTCCTCCTCTCTGATTCTCAGTAATAACTATAATTATTCCAGATATTTCCTTTTTATAGTCTGTTGAGCAAAGATGTTCTTTTCATAAGATATTTGTATCTAGTTTGTATGTGAATTATTTTATAGTATTAAATATACTTAACATTTTATGAGCTCAGTGTTTTTAAAACTGCCCCAAGTACCTGTAAACTATTTGACTTCTGAACTATTATTCATCATTGGGTTGACTGTACAGTAGATAATTTATGGAGAAACAGTTGTACTTCATGATCTATCTAGTGTATTGCCTATAATCTGTTTAATAGACACAGTGTTATTAACTGCCCACACAAAGGGGAAGAAACACATCACCAACTTCTGAAAAACATGTCTCACTATCTGACTACATAAGACACCCTTTAAGGGTCAGCAAGATGACAAAATGTATGTTTTTTGAGCCCCACTGTTCCAGAACATGCGACACCTCCTTCAAGAGATGCGGATTCACTACAGTGTCTTTCTGACATCCATCAAACAGAATTCCAAATGTAATAACAAAAGTTATGATTTGCTCTCATGTTGAAAGAGAGGAAAAGGGACTTAACTGCCATAATAAGTTAAGAACACTTAAATCTGTTGTCTTTCCAAGCCATAGTAAGGTTTCAATTATTATGCATAATGTGTTGCTTTAGACTTTTATCATATAGGCAGCAGCCAGGAAGAATCAGGCCCAAAGGCTGAAACTATCTAGACCATCTGCTTCCTCCCCAGGCTGCTCAGCACAATGGCTGCCCCCCGCTTTGCCCAGCCTGGTCTTTACAGATACTGAGATCTAATGGTGCTTTTTTCCTACGTCAATGCTGAAACTCTCTTCTACTATTATTATTAGACTTCAGGATCAATCCCAATTCATACTTTTGTTTTATCTTTAATAGTTTTTTCCAGTTGGGGTTCCCATGAGGCTACTTTCAAAACAGAAAAATAAGATGTACCAAAGCCCCTTTTCTGGCCATCTTCATTCTGAAATAGAGCAAAGCAGGATGCCTCTTACTCTTCTAACTGTTCCTTTTCCCCCTCCCTTGGCCCTTGACCTTCTGAGATTGCATGCTCTCAGCTAAGTTTAAACCACATTATCTGCTCCCCTCCCCAGCTCTGATAAACGCCCAATGGGCCCTGGATACTTAGAACCAAATACCATCATTTGCTCATTGTGGAGGCTTCTAAGGGAAGCCACTACAGGGCAAATCCTGTGGTATTACACAGGTGAAGAAGGTTGGAAAGTAGTCTCATTTTCCTCATACAAAAATGGAGTGCAGTGCAGACAGCAGAGGGTGCAGGCCAGCGGGCAGAGCAGGCACACCAGGCAGAAGAGAACTAATGCCACTGCCATGGGCAGTTCACACCCTCTAGTCTTGGATCAGTACATGAGATTCATGGCAGCACTGCACAGCTCAAGAAATAGGCCCCGTTGTCTCTAAAGTCGAAAGGGGCCAAAAAGAAAGACCCCAGGAATCGTACCTGGAAGGAAAATACCATATATATAGTATTTGTATATATGGAGAAGCAGTTAATGCAACAGCTCCCCACTGTCCACCCCAAAAAGAAATATGTATATAATTATGTGTATATATACACACAGACACACCCCTATACAAGGGTACTTCAAAAAGTTCATGGAAAGATTCATATTTTTTAATTCTACTTTTCCATGAACTTTTTTTTAAAAATCTTTTTCCTTTTTGTCTTTTTTTACTGACCGGTAACGGGATCACAACCCTCGGTGTTGCGCCCGTACCGGGGACCGGCAATGGGATCGCAACCCTCAGTGTTGCGCCTGCCCCACGCTCAGCCAGTGAGCGGGAACTGGTCTCCACATGGGATCCGAACCCTCGGCGGGAGCGCTGCTGCGCTCCCACGCGGCGCACTCTCCAGTGCGCCACCGGGCCGGCCCTTCCATGAACTTTTTGAAGTACCTTCGTGTGTGTGTGTGTGTGTGTGTGTGTGTGTGTGTGTGTGTGTGTGTGTGTCTCTGAGACATTTTTTCTCACCTTTCAAAAGGCTGCTGCAAGGTGAGCTCCAGCCCACTCCCTTTCCCGTATAGGAGGCAGCATTCCCAGTGACGTATGAAGGAGCTCTGGTTGTAGATGCTGCAGGCTGATGCTTTAATACTGGACCAACCCTCCAGCTTTAAGCTTGAGGAAAACTAAGCCAATGCCACTCATAAGGAACGAGTAGCAGGAGAGTAGTCCAAGTTGTCACCCTGGAGTGAATGTGAGCTAAGCAGGAATATCTCCTGTGACACATGCAAGCTCACATGCACACATGCTCTACCAATGCTCTGAGTTCTTAAGATGACATGCAACCTGTTATCATGACTGTTAAATCCAGGAGAGGGAAGGTTTTTGCCAGTGCGGCCGAGCATGACTAACCTCATTTAAACCCAGGTTGCAACCTACTAGATCTTGAAATGAATTTAGTGGATTATAACCAGAATTTATTTTTTAGTTGTGATAGAATAGAAAACAGAGTGCCTCATATGTAATAAACTTAGGACGTGTGGAACTTATATGCATGTATGCAGGTACTGGCAATATAAAATATATTTGTTACTGTGGATAGCTGTTAGAAATGTGAAAAACACTACCTCTGTTTGTAGTAAAATTCTATATGCTTATTGCAAGTAGTAAAGAAAAAAGTTCATGTTCATTCTCATATATTTCATCTCAACCCCTGAAAATCACCTCTTCTGGATGGGGATGAATTTGTTATTTTCTGTGCTTAGAACACGATTTTTTCGCAGATATCTGCATGAATCCTTCCCTTACTATCTTGCGATTTCTGCTCAAATTTCACCTCCCTTGACTACTACTTTATTTATTTTTTTGGTGGCTGGCAGATACGGGAATCTGAACCTTCAACCTTGGCGTTATAACACTGCACTGTAACCAACTGAGCAACCATCTAGTCCCCTCGACTACCTCTTTAAAACATCATCCCTACCTTTACCCCCACCTATTTCCTTTCCAGCTTTATCCTTCACCCTGGCAAATATTACTACCTGACATAAATTTTACTGTGTACTGCCTGCTCCCCTCCCCCACTAGGATGTAAACCCTTAAGGATGGGATTTTTGTCTGTCTTGTTCACTCTTGTATCCCCAGCATCTAGAATGATGCCTGGCAAACCATGATGCTTCAGAGACCAGTAGGGCACCAAAAGGTGAGGAGAGCTGGACACACTGAGCAACCAGGAGTTGGGTAATTAGTAGAGATCCTTACATTGAATATGGAGATGTTCCCCTATTGTCGAGGCAGACTTCACTGTAGGCCACAGCCCTCCAGGTATGAAGAGTCTGGAGATAATTGGTGTAAAAATGTCTGAAAAAGTACCCCGTGGGAACACGGGGTTAGGGGGTGAGGGGAGGGGCACGTGTCAGGGTTGCTGGCAGTAAAGATACACTTCTGCCTGTTCTAACTGCCCTCCAGGCAGTGCCCATCCCCATCTTGCACATCACCCCTCCAAGGGTCCCCTGGTTAATGAGGGCAAGAAACTGCTTCACGAGTGCTTGCAGGTGGAGAAGTAGGTACACACGGGGGATGGCCACAGGCACCTCAGGGTGCAGAGTTCTGCTGGGGAAGAAATCCAAAGTGAGCATTTGGAGGGCTCGAGATCATAGGAAGAGGTCTGGACTTCATCTGTGGGCTCTTGATATATTGTTACCTCATTTAAACCTTATAACAACCCTGAGAGGGTGAGAGGGGGCTGGCCGGTTAGCTCACTTGATTAGAGCATGGTGCTGATAACACCAAGGCAATGAGGTCAAAGGTGTGGATCCCCTTACTGGCCAGCCAGCTAAAATATAAGAACAATAACAACCCTGAGAAGATTAGAAAAAGAAAAACATACTCCTATCTACAGGTAAGGGAGAAAGCTCACTTCACACAGAAGTGAGCTGCTGACAGTCCTAAGGCTGAGTGGTGGGACAGGATGGAAGGTCTGTTTGAACACAAGACCTGTGCTTTCCCCACTTGGGCTTGTAGCCCCCCAACACTACCAGGTCAGAAAGCCAAGAGACAGGTGCTGCAGTACCTCTCCTGAGCCGAAGCCCAGACAAGCTCAAGGTCCCCCTCTTCAACCCGGCTAAGCTCATCAACTCGAGTGTCACTCTCTCCCAGAAGCCTTCCCTAACACTCCCACCTTCAGTACTTCCAGAACACCTCATCTGCTCTACAGCTGTCCGTGCTGGTCATATGGTTCAACTCACATGGTCATAGTGTAGAGCTCACAGTGGACAGTCAGGGAAGGACGGCTGAGTGAGGGGTCAAGTGGAGGCCCCTCTTCTGCTCTGGAGCCCTGCCTCCCTCCCTCCCTGCCCTGCCCTGGCCCGCCCCTCCAGCACTGCACGCTGCCTGAGCTCTCTTATTCTCCCTCCTGGCCTGCTGTGTCCATCTGGTCTCCTTCCTTGGAGGATCTTCCCTCATCAAAAAGCAGAGCCAGATACTGATGACTTCTAGAACCAGAGGAAATTCCCGGACCTCTCTGTCTCCCCCCTTCCTGCTCAGAGGGACAGCAAGAGTTAACCAGCCATTCAGCCTGGGAGGGATGCGGAAGAGAGCCTTGGCCCTGGGGGAGGTCACCCAGCACCCTCCATGAGTCAGTGGCAGCCTCTGACATCAGCAGCAGCCGCGTGCCTCAGTCCCCAGTTTCCCCGCTCCACCTCCTCCCCTCTCAGAACCATAATTCTCCACAGGATGGCAACAGCAGGACCTTGAACGCTATCATCATCGGCCTGGCCTGGCCCGTAATAACCCCCTCCCTGCCACTTTGGCTGAGGACAGGCACGCTCAGGCACCCATGTGCATGAGGGTGCACGTGTGCCGAGTGCTGCAGTGGACAGGAGAGGCTGGGGGTCGTGGCACTCCAGCCTGCCCTGCTGCTTCTACCCTCTGCACCTTCCCTCAGGAAGAAGGGCCTGGGCACAGGCTGGAGTCCAACAGAGGCACCAAGGCCTCTCCGGAGGGACTCTTCGAGGGCAGGAAGCAATGCCCACAGGCGGGTTTCCTGAGTCAAAATGTGCACCTGCACCCCTAGTGGCTTCCCAGGTGGTCACTCAGTAGAGAAGGAGCGAGAGTGCACCCTGTGTCCCGCTGGAGCCGACGCTGGGCGGGCTCTGAGCGGAGTGGGCTTGACGCCTGCCTGGGAGGGAACAGTCCCACAGAGATGAGCACGCGCACACAAGCCACTCCATCAGAACCTGACATCTGCCTGTCCAGGAAGTCACAGGAACAAGCCGCTGCAGAAGACTGGGGTGCTCAAGGGAGGCTTCGCAGGGAAGGGGCTGCGGGGACCTAAAGAATGGCTGGGACCCCTCCCGCCGCTTCACCAGGGTTGAGATGGGGTGTGGGGCTCGCCCCGCTCTGTATGGGCTCCAAACACCAGGCCTGCTTGAGCATCTCCTGTCCCTTCCACCCTGTCTGGAGTGAGGGAGGTGGTGTAAGCACATGGGGCCCTGCTGCTCTGCCCATTTCTAGGCTTTCCCTCTGTCTCTGGGCAGTGGTGACAGGACACAGCACTCTCACCCAGGAGGCAGGGCCTGGGCCAGGGGCAGATCTAGTGTGCTGCTGTCTACTCTCAATGTTCTTGCCAGGTGACTCTGGCTTTAAAGCAGCCTCAAGCCACTCCTAAAGGGAACTTTCATCAGAGGCCAGCTGCAGGCTCACAGGGGATTTGCCTCACTGTGCCTGGGCAACAGCGTGGGCACTGCAGTGGCACCCCTGCGGCCTCATGAGTCCGTGCTTAGCACCACGGGGCCCCCAAAATGCACAGACCGGGGTGAGCACCCCAAAGCCCTGTCTTTTCAACCTCTCTGCACATGCTGAGCCTCATGGCACGGCTTGCAGCCAAAGTTGCTGGGGACAAGTGTGCGGCAGGGCGCGGGGTGTGGCCCAGGCCCAGGGCTACTCTCGCCCCCAGCTCTGCTCCGGCGCAAAGCACTCAGGGGCGAACTCACTCAGACTGCGGCTTTGGTAAGGGCTGCTTATATAAACGAAGAGGGGAACACACGAAGTGTCCCAAGGACTGGCGCTGTGTGCCAGCTCTGCCACCTACCAGCTGTTTGACCTTACACAAGTCATCTCTCTCTGCACTTCGGGCCCCTCACCTGTAAGAACGGGGGCCAGACAGCCTCCGCCAGCTTTGACTCGCTAGACTGTCTCAGCAGAGAGCCTGGCCCGTTCCCTGGAACAGTGTTGCTCAAAGTATAGCGTGTAGTCCACAGAATAGCTGCATGGCAGTCACGTGGGAAATGTTTCTTAAACGGAGGTTTCTGAGCCTCAATTCTAGACCCATTAAATCTGCAGTGTCTGAGGATGAGGGCTACAAATCTGCATTTTATACTTTTAAGAACCACTATGTGCCTTCTTCTAAACTGCCTCCATCTCCGCTGCTGCTGTATCCACCAAGTCCAGCCCCAACACCCCCCTTTGCACACCTCCCCCACGCTCCCCACAAGTGGCCAAAGCAGCAGTGTGGCAATCGCTCCATCCTTGACCCTTCCTTTGCAGTGAGTGATGGCTTTTTTATCTCCCGCTGATGAAGCACAACCTTCAGCTGGAAGCATTTAAGACAGAACAGAGAGTCCAGGCTGCACCTGCAGGACCCAGAGGCAGACCTTGAGGGGCTCAGGAAGGAAGCAGCCGCCACACTTGAGAGCTGCTGCCACTGCCGCCACCACCGCCACTGCCACCCCGGCCCAGAAACAATGCTTCTAGCAACATTCAAGCTGTGTGCTGGGAGCTCCTACAGACACATGCGCAACGTGAAGGGTGAGTTCCCCGGAGCTGATGACACAGGGGTTGACCAGGAGCTCTCAGGCGATATGGTTTAGCAGAAAGTACTGGGGTAGGCCGCTCAGGTTCTGGTTCCGGGTGTGCTTCTCACTGGGTAAGCCTGTCCCTTCCCTTCTGGACCTCCTTTTTCCCACCTGAAGAACCAGGCTGGACACTAAGATGCCTGTGTCCCTTCCAGATTCTGTCATGTCTGGTCTCACTCCAGGGTTCCTGACTCTGCCTTCCTTCAGGGCTGAACAAGGCTCATGGCGAGTACTAGCAAAGTCTTGAGCACAGCGGTAGAGGCAGAAGTGGTCAGTTCTGGCCGGCCTCAGGCCCCAGCAGAGAAAGGCAGGGGAGGAGGACAGAAGGGCAGGGTGGGTAGAGTTATCACTGTGACAGCCGAGAAGAGGCACGAACAATAGGCCTCTTCAATAGAGCTAATTAGGACCCAAGGTCATTAGAGTCAGTCCCCTGCCACCACTGAAGGGTACACAAACCAACAAGTCCTTTCCAATGACCCTGGGTTGAGTTAGCTACCGTATGTACAGAGGCCACGCTTGAAAGACCGGCAGCCGGCAGCAGGGCTGTCCTCCACAAGACTTGGCTGGCTCAGAACCCAGCGGCACACCGAGCAGCTTACTCACGCTGAGGACCCTAGCTGCTGGCAAGAGCAGCGGGGCTGTCCTCCACAAGACTTGGCTGGCTCAGAACCCAGCGGCACACCTAGCAGCTTACTCACGCCGAGGACCCTAGCTGCTGGCAAGGGAACAGCTTTCTTCTGTCCTTCTGCAGCAGGATTTTTCTGGTTGTTTGAACAAAGCTTCTCTCCCAGAAAGGGGGAAACTCCAGCAGGCTCTGGTGTAACCCCCGTCTCCAGGGAGGGCCAGGTCCAAACGCACCAGATGGAAGGCAGATTTCTGGGCCCTGGCAGCAGGGCTGTCCTCCACAAGACTTGGCTGGCTCAGAACCCAGCGGCACACCGAGCAGCTTACTCACGCTGAGGACCCTAGCTGCTGGCAAGGGAACAGCTTTCTTCTGTCCTTCTACAGCAGGATTTTTCTGGTTGTTTGAACAAAGCTTCTCTCCCAGAAAGGGGGAAACTCCAGCAGGCTCTGGTGTAGCCCCCGTCTCCAGGGAGGGCCAGGTCCAAACGCACCAGATGGAAGGCAGATTTCTGGGCCCTGGAGGCAGCCTAGTGTAGTGTAACAAGCACTGAACTGGGAGTTGGAGACCTGGCTCTAGTTCAAGCACCTACTGGAAGTCTGTGTGTTCCTGAGCAAATCACATCCCTCTCCAACACAGTTTCCTCATCTGTGACAAAGTAAGGAGTTGGAATAGTCCATGTCTAAGGGACTCTCCAGCTCCTAGGCAGCGGTTTCCTTCTCTTCTTCCCTGCAGGGCTGAGGCACCAAGCTGTGCTGGCCATTGGCCGGGAGCTGAACCGCCGGGCACTGGGGGACCCGACTCCTAGTGCATGGATTAACCAGGTTCGGCGTCGGAGCTCTCTGCTTGGTAAGTGCTGAGGCTTCTGGGTTTCTGCCAGTGGCAGACTTCAGGGTGCAAATGTCCTGCATGTAGTTCTGGTTCCCCTCCTGTCCTTTCTTACACAACTTGGGGAGAATGTTCCCACCCTAGAGTTCCTCAAGGCAGATCCCCGGTCGCCTGTAGCTGCTGTGTCTAACTTGACCTGCAGGCTGAACCCTATGGCTTTGGTCTTGGCTCTTCAGAGGAAAGAGCAGATCCAGAGGTTAAAGGGATGAAAGCTGGTGAGAAGGTAGGGACTGGAAGCTCCCTCTCCTTGGCTGTGTAACCAGGTTCTGGGCTGGAAGAAATTCTGTACAGCGACCAGGAGTTGGCCTACATCCGGCAGGGAGAGGAGGCCATGCAGAAGGCCCTGGGCATCCTCAGTAACCAGGAGGGCTGGAAGCAGGAGACTCAGCAGGTAAGGGTGGGTGTGGAAAACCCACAGTTCCTCACTGTTCCACTGCCATCTTCAGTATCCTTAGCTACCCTGCAAATACACTGTACACCCATTCAGCAGAGACCCTGCAATGGGGACTCCCTGTGCAGTAGAGGACTCATCACCCTGGGTCAGAACTCCCACAGCGCCTAAGTGCATCGTGACATTCAGCCCACCTTGTGGCCAAGCTTGTGGGGGTGATGTGGGCTCACCCTGCAACAGGGCTGGACTAGAATACCAAGGTGGCCCAAGGCCTTCTGGGGTCCTCTGTTCCAGATCTGCACCCTCACTGGGAGCCAGTAACACGGCTCATGTTAAAGGCAACCAGCTCTATTATCAGAAGCTTTGGTGGCTTCACCTTCAGCAAAAGTTTACATGCTGCCCATGACCCAGAGTTCAGGAAAACCTCTCCTTCCCCAAGTTCTCAGAGTAATGGAGTTAATAGGCTACTAGTTTGGGAGTCAAGAAACCTGGGATCTAGGCTCAGTGCTGCTGTTAGCTAAGGGTGCCTGGGCACATTACTGACCCCACATCCTGGTGTGAAATGACATATTGAAACTAAACACAACCTCTAAGATCTCTCCCAGCATTCTATGTATATAACTAGCTGGTTGTGGACCACACTTTTCCCAATCCCAGGTTTCTCTCTCAGGGTCTTTGAGCTACTAAAGTTAAGTGTCTGTTTAGCTGGACCCCCCCCCCTCCCCACCACCATTCACCACCAAGGAGAGAGAGGCAGGTGCACGAGGCTTGTGGCAGCAAAGACATCCTGCTCTACCTGAGACAGAGGTCCAAGTCTCCTCATGCTTAGCTTCAAGACCCTTTTGCAGGCCCCTCTCTACCTTCCCTGTTATTGTCCAGGAGACCTAGGCTAGGAATACTGTTCTCTGACATTCTTCCTGGGGCCCCTTTCTCCCCTGACAGGCCAATGGGGACAGAGTGCTGAGTAAAGTGGTCCCAGACGTGGGCAAGGTGTTCCAGCTGGAGGTGGTGGTGGACCAGCCCATGGGCAGGCTCTATGAGGAGCTTGTGGAGCGCATGGAGGCAATGGGAGAGTGGAACCCCAATGTCAAGGAGATCAAGGTAAGGACAGTCCAGGTGTGGGTGGAGGGACCCGAGAGTGACCAGTTTGAAAGGTGGGCCAAAGAAGGGACCTCAAGCTGTGGGGTGGTGCTTAACCTCAGCACTGGCTGAGTAGGGATTCTGGTTTCCTTGTGTGGTCTGGCAGGTCCTGAAGAAGATTGGAAAAGATACAGTCATCACTCATGAGTTGGCTGCAGAATCGGCAGGAAACCTCGTGGGGCCACGTGACTTTGTGAGTGTGCGCTGCGCCAGGCGCCGAGGCTCCACCTGTGTGCTGGCTGGCATGGCCACACACTTTGCAGAGATGCCTGAGCAGAAAGGTGTCATCAGGTAATAATGGCAGCAGGCTTAAAACTCCCCTGTCCTAACATTTGCCTGCAGGCACACACCCAAGTGTGTGATGGTCTCAATCCCCCACTCCAAGAAACCAATCCTTGGTCCACACCCTCAGCTTCCTTTTACAAAAAAAGATTCTCATTTTCCAGAGTTGGGGAGAACATGCATGAACTGAAACAACAAATTACATCCCATAAACATGTACAATGAAAAAGTAAATTAAAAAAATTTTTTAAAAAGCCACAATAAGTGAAACAAAACAGAACACAACACAAAGTTGGGAGAAAGCACTACTTTGACAGTCACAACCATCCCAGGTTTAAGAACCGTAATTTTCTGAAGCAACGGGCAGGACTGAGGTTCAGCCGGTAGGTTCAGGTACAGCTGTACTGGCAACTAAAATATTGAAATAATGCACACTACTTAGAACACCATGGATCCCTGAGTTCCCTTTCCCTGACTTCCCACTAATGGGCACAAGAGGCCTCCAGGTTATAGACTGGCTACAGCTGGCATTTGTTCTGCTGAGCTGGTAACCATGCCAACTGTTAAATATTGCCCTTGGCGAAGGTAGGTACTTCCCTACCTTTGATGAGATTTAGAAAAAAGACAAGGTACTCCAGAAATGCGGCCGGTGTATAAACAGTCAGCGTGAGAGAGAACTCTGGATTGTCCTCTGACTTGACTTCTTTTCACCTGCCAGAGCTGAGCACGGTCCCACCTGCATGGTACTTCATCCCCTGGCTGGAAGCCCCTCGAAGACCAAACTCACTTGGCTGCTCAGTATAGACCTAAAGGTGAGGGGCATGGGAGGTGGCTCAGGAGGTGGGCAGTAGTGAAAAAAATAGGCTCTTCCTCCTCCCCCATGGAACAGAGAATCTTCCATTTTGCTAGAATCACAGGCTGCTGGACAGAGAAGGGACTTGAGTAATGTAGTGCTAGCCTACCATCTCAAAAGCCTGCAATGACTCCCTCTTGCCTCTCATATCAAATTTCAACTCTAACATTACCATTTTAGAAAGAAAAAGGCCCAGAGATCTTCAGTCTGAGAAAGATAAAGCAACTTGCTCAGGGTCACACAGCTGGGGGACAGGACTGAAATCTGGGCAGCATTGCACTCCTCCGGCCCTTGACCTTGGGTCAACTCCAGGACTGCACCTATAAACACAGCTGGAAGACCAAGCCCCAGGCAACCCACGCTTGTAATAGGGTGCACAAGTGTCTAGAACGGAACATCACCCACCAGATGGCCAAATTCTATTTTCTACTCTAGGGGTGGCTACCAAAGACTATCATCAACCAGGTCCTATCACAGACCCAGGTGGATTTTGCCAATCACCTGCGCAAGCGCCTAGAGACCAGCCCTGCCTCTGAAGCCAGGTGTTAGAGACCAGCCTGCTGTTCCCCACTGTGCCCGGCTGACTGCTTGCATCATCAGGAAGATCCCTGCTGGAAGCCTGCAAGTCTGTTTAAGATCTTCGTCTGGCAACAGTGGGAAAGGGTGGTGGTGTTTAGAGTATGATACTACGATTCAGATTGCTAAGAGTTTTAGTACCAAGAAAATAGGGATGAGGCTCTTAGATATAGAGACAGCCTTCTAACTTCATTCATCTTGTGAAATGAAGGTTAAAGCTCCTAAAATACTTGTAAAACTTTTTTTCTGGGCCCTTATATGGTAAGAGTTTTAGTACCAAGAAAATAGGGATGAGGCTCTTAGATATAGAGACAGCCTTCTAACTTCATTCATCCTGTGAAATGAAGGTTAAAGCTCCTAAAATACTTGTAAAACTTTTTTTCTGGGCCCTTATATGTCTACCTAAAAACATCTTAAAACCGCTAGCGACTGATATGGATGCAGGGGATACTAAATACAGGAATCGGGAACTCTTGGTTTATGGGCTCGAAACTCCATTCCCTGCAGGCAATTGTGTGTAGACAAAGCAGGGTCTCACAAAGCGGGGCTCCAGCAGCCCCCTGCTCCTCCATCTAGCAGCTACAGAGATACACCAAAGCATTCCCACAGTAGGTACCTTCCGGAAATATATTCCAAATTTTCTCTATGGAAAAATACAAATCTAATTATTAGACTGGTTTCCCTACTTTTTCCATAAGCACCAGTAAGAACAAAGAACCATAACTAACATAAAAACTGCAGTCTGTACCTCTTTTAAAATTCTACTCTTAAAAAAAAATCTATTCTAGGGCTGGCCCGGTGGCGCACTGCTACAGTGCACTGCTTGGGAGCATGGCAACGCTCCCGCCGAGGGTTCGGATCCCACATACAGACCAGTTCCCGCTCACTGGCTGAGCGAGGTGCGGGCGCAGCACCGAGGGTTGCGATCCCGTTGCCGGTCCCGGTCCGGTACGGGCGCAACACTGAGGGTTGCGATCCGTTGCCGGACACGAAAAAAGACCAAAAAAAAATCTATTCTAGTGGATTACAACTTCATACTAGAGGAGTCGTGGACAAAGATTATAGTTAGTTAAACTAAATCCCCGAGCTCCGTATAAGAAAAGAAACTACTGGGGATTTATATCATCAATTATTTAGAATCTGTTACCAGAACTTTTCATAAAAATTTAATTTCTATGATAAGCACAAACCTGAATCAGTTCTTAAAGAACTCTACAACTGATAGCTGATTAACAGGCCCTGAAGACAAAGATTATAACTGAGGATTTTTACTTAGCTAATTAAAAGTACCAAATATGAGAGAACAATATTACTAAGGTAAAGTTAACAACATTTATATTACTTATGATGTCAGTCAGTAGTAAGAGAATCCCACAGCTGCCAACTTGGCTCGGGGCTGCCAACTTCTCTACTTGAACAGGTTAAAATTTTACTATTTTGGGAGAACTGGCTGAAGGGATAACATGGTGATAGCAAATTCCCTTTTCCAGGATTCAGAGAACTTGTAATTTAAAAATATAAATTGAAATGGGATTACTTTGCTAAAATGTGTTAAGTAGAATGAAAAAAAAATCAACAATTACCACCTAAAGCTCTTCTGTTCTAGTTTTAATAGCATTGATGATTTACACCATTTGGAAATAAGAGTTCTAGCTTATTTATTAAACAAAATAGCAACAGTGGGAACACTGATATTTATTGAGGTATTAAAACTTTACAACTGATAGAGGTGTTTATTATAATTTATTCTGATTGCTTCTTAGAGTAGTGTTTTTTTGGCATGGGTGAAATTATTGCTTATCTAGGAACCTCAGAGTAAGGGTAGATAGTTGTAGAGAAATATTTCTACCATTACTAGATAAGAGAAAATGGTTACTTGTTTAAAGATATGTTAATACAAAATATACTCTTGTTTCAAGAGAACAGGCTGACAGTAAAAAAAAGGGCTTTCAACAAACACCATGGTTTTGAACTGGATTATAATTTGCCTCCTTCAAACTATGTAACTGTGTCTTTGTGGTATCTGGGGAGATATTTTCCCACTTAATTTTACATTGGATTTAAACAAGTTGTCACAGATGATCTGATTACAGAAACTACTTTTTATAGGACTATCTGAAGAGTAGGTATTCTCTGAGTGCCTCAAATGAACCTTATTAAAACACACACACACACACACACTCTCTCTCGAATATCAAGTATTAACAAGAAAATCATTATTTCTGTCACCTCTGACTTACGAAAGCCGAGTATACAAAAACCTCATTTTATAGTTTAGATGGAGAGGGGGCACACAACTTATATGTGGTCACTTATGTGACAAAGAGTTTACCTCCAGCTTCCTCTGGGTTATACCACCTCATTTTCTTGGAGTCCCTCAAACTCTGGTGATCTAAAAGCTTTATAACCAGGTTTGCTCTTTTAAGACCAGCCCACAAATTAATGTGTCTAGGGGTGATGGGCTGTATTAGTCCTTTTTGTGCTGCTATAAAAAAATACCTGAAACTGGGTGATTTATAAAGAAAAATGATATTTACTGCTTACAGTTTCTGAGGCTGGGAAGTCCAAAGTCCATCTGGTGGTGGCAACAGTGACCCAGGGGTCTCACATGGCAAGATGGTGGAAGCAGAGAGAGCAGAGAGAAAAACAGACTCTCCTCTCTCTTTTAAAGCCCTCAGAACCACACCCCGACCAGGTCCTACAGTCCAATCAATTCTTTAAGGCTCCACCTTTCAATTACCATGATAGGATTTCCCACCCTCTTAACAGTCACAGTGGGGGCTAAGTTTCTTTTTTTTTCCTTTTTGTCTTTTTTCGTGACCGGCAACGGATCGCAACCCTCAGTGTCGCGCCCGGACCGGGACCGGCAACGGGATCGCAACCCTCGGTGGTGCGCCCGCACCTCGCTCAGCCAGTGAGCGGCCAGTCCGTACGTGGGATCTGAACCCTCGGCAGGAGCGCCGCCGCGCTCCCAAGCGGCGCACTGTAGCAGTGCGCCACCGGGCCAGCCCCGGGGGCTAAGTTTCTAATGCATAAAATTTGGGAACACAGTTCAAGCTTCAATGAGTTTTGCAGGACATTATTCAATCCACTACATGGGCCTACAGTCAAACCGACTCTGTTAGGTTTCCTGTTAAGATATATGGAATGGCAAAAATGAAGAGCGTGGGAGATTCATTAGGACACAAACATATTAGTTAATGCTACTAATAAGTAAATGCTACCTAATAAGTTACTAATATTCACTTGAAATTTGGGCAATTTCATAAGCAGGAAAATGACAATAAGATATTCAGAAGAGCCACAGGCACAAGATATGATGACTCTGTGGCAACATATCCCCTGCCTCTTGGTGATCCGCTCCACCTGTTAACCTAGGTAGAAAGTAACATGCAGGAGAGTCTTTGGGGCAATGCTGGGAGGGCTGCATTTGTTGTAAGACTGATGTATTTAAAAAGGGAGGTAGGGAAGCGATAAAGGGATGCCCAGGGAAGGGGCATTCTTACATTCCAATTGTTACTCTTTTTTTTTTTTTTTTTTTTAAAGGATGACCGGTAAGGGGATCTCAACCCTTGGCTTGGTGTTGTCAGCACCACGCTCAGCCAGTAAGCAAACCAGCCATCCGTATATAGGATCCGAACCCGGGGCCTTGGTGTTATCAGCACCGCACTCTACCGAGTGAGCCACGGGCCAGCCTCCAATTGTTACTCTTCTGAAAACTGCCCTTTAACCACCAGCTATTACAAAGGAAGACAAGCAGGGCAGGAAAATAACCTGCACACATCAATACCCATGTTCAAAGAGAAGAGCGGGAAGTAGATTATCAGCCCTTTTAAACTGCCGTTCACCTCCTTGAGATTCCAGTTTTCACAGGACAAGGGGGGTGGCTGATCTGGTGGGTGGCAAGGACGGGAGCAACAGGAGAGTGGCCGAGACACAAGCCAGAAACCTGTGTGCTCCTTCCAATGCTGGCTCTCCTTCCTCATCCAGCCCCCATTTCTGACGCTGTCACCAAGAAGGAACCCAACTTGAAGGGAAGCAAAGTGCCATACAAACTTGAAAACAAGTTTTATTTGGGAAGAGTTTCTAATTTTTTAAAGCTGCGAGCAAGTTCCTTTCACAAGTACGGTTCTAGAGACCGAGGGGTTTCAGAGATCCCAGTGTTCAAAAGCATATTTCAAAATTATTTTAATAACAAAACCAAATGCACATCAAAAGGAAATAGCTTTTAGATTGGTTTAGAAAGTATGGTCATAGATTTCAGCTTCTCTCAGATACAGGCCCACCACTTCCTTGGAGATCAGGTGGGATGGACCCAATGCCCACAGAAGGAAGTGTCTTCAAATAAGTTAGCTACTTGGACAAGATTATTCACTCCTTAGGAAATACAGTAAGATAAGTCCCAGCTGGCCGGTTATATGGTACAGCACCAGTTTCACAGGGAGCTTATGGGATCCAGGGTCAGCAGGTGTTGGCTTATGGCACACAAAATAAGAGCAATCACTGAAAGTGGGGGGGAGAGCGGTGAAGGGTGGGGAGTTTCCCGCAGTCCTACCCAACCTCTTCACTTGCTAAAAGGAGAGTCTGTGTTCTGTAGCATCTCTGGGAGAACATTTGAGACTGTTAAAAAATAAAAATCCCAGTATTATTCCCCAGAATGTCCATATCTGAAAAGAAAGAGAGACCCGGTCAGGGTTCCCATGGGGGACTGCGCCTCCCATCCACTTCTGTTTCCACATGATATAGGACATCAGCCAGAGTATGTTCTACCACAGCGCCCCAGCCCATGTCACTCATCTGCGGGAGGAACGAGAAAGGGAAACAGGGTGACTAGAGTAACCACAGCAAGAAATGAAGACACTGAGGATGCATGCAGACATACCGAACGGTACTCACAGGGTGGTAAGTGAGATCCTTTGGAGGATACTTGAAGCACGGTCCAAAGTTAATGGAAACCTGGGGTAAATTCAGTTCAAGCAGACACGGAAAAAAAGAAAGAAGTAAGTACTGAAAAAGTCAATTTGACACGGGAAAACTTTCATTTTAAATGTAGCTATGGTACTCAAGGTATAAATGGAACGAATGAGATATATATCGCTAAAAGTGGCCAACATCCTAATGTCCATCAGGAATTAGGTAAATAAAACAGACCCGTGTTGATTTCTGTTGACAACCTAAAGATATCCTTATTTTACCTTCTTTTTTTTTTTCCTTTTTGTCTTTTTCTTTTCGTGACCGGTAATGGGATCGCAACCCTCAGTGTCGCGCCCGTACTGTGACCAGCAACGGGATCGCAACCCTCGGTGTTGCGCCCGCACCGCGCTCAACCAGTGAGCGGACCGGTCTCTATATGGGATCCGAACCCTCGGCGGGAGCGCCGCCACACTCCCAAGCGCCGTACTCTACCGACTGCGCCACCAGGCCGGCCCCTTATTTTACCTTCTTTAATGGTGGCTACTAACAGACTGAAAGTACTCTACCGAGTGCGCCACCAGGCCGGCCCCTTATTTTACCTTCTTTAATGGTGGCTACTAACAGACTCAAAGTGCACAAAAATCTCCCTGCATTAACTACTCAATCTTTTTTTTTTTTTTTTTAAACAAACAGACCCTAATAATAGTCTCCTCCTCCATGCTGAATCATAGTTAAAACAAAAAACAAACACAATACAAGCAATAGTTACAGACAATAACTGGTAGGTTATCACATGTAACCGTGAACTGACTTATGCGTGTGTGTATTTTACACCCTTCACACGGAACAGTCACACTCACCACATTGTGCATTCAAAGGAAAGCAATGGTGAAACGCTGACTGCATCACTGTTATCTTTCCAAGCAAATGCTTCCTACAACCCCAAGGATTTTTGAACCAAACAGTAATAGCAGCCACACATTCCTGTGTCACTCCTCGGCTATTCAGATTTCTTTCTAGAACCCAGTCAATGGCTTTTCCACCACAACCCATTCACCTCCTTCCCTCAAGTTCTGTCCACAGAATGGACGTAGGACACGTACCGTGCAGCTCTTGTACAGTGAGATGGCTGGAAAGTAAACTCCCTCAAAAATATCTTTGTAAGCCACACCTTGGTTGACACCATTTTTATAAAATATTATCTGAAACAAAACAAAAACCATGGTTTTACTTCATATTTTAAAGAAAGAATGAACAAAAAAGAACTGACTTGGAGAACACTTTAGAAGTGCTACCACCAGACTGGTAATAATGTATCCCACAAATAGAACATAGCTTGAGTAACAACAATATCTTCAACTTATACATCACCTTAGGCTTTCCAAAGCACACTTCCACGCACCATTCCAGCTGGACTTCAGGTTTCTTATTTGCTTTCTGAATCCCTATGCTACGCATAACAGTTCTACATTCCATTATTCATTATATTGTATTTATAAAAACTAAGCTGGTCTTCCACGGATCCCTTGGGACTATACCTGGTTAAGCTTGCTTATGTATCTATCCCGTTCTCTTGCCTCAATTCTCACTGCTGTTTTTTAACTTAGAAGTTCTCTTAGGATCATCTGTCACAGCCTCTGAATCCTCTGAATTTTCTTTGTCCTTTCTCTTCCATAATTATCCTGAATAGTCTGTCTTAACCACTATATATGTGGTCTTCAGAAAAGGATCGTTTCTCTTCCCAGCAAGAGCTATCTTCTGCCTGGCTGTATTTTCTGGCTATATCATCCTCAAATCTATTAACTGCTTCCCTTTACTATTTTTCTCCGAAAAAGACCTGGAACTCTAGCTTCTTCATTTCTCCTGCATTCCCTTCTATTACAGTCCCAGGTGGCTTCACAGCATTTTTATGAGAAAATGTTTCCAGCTCAGAACTTTTTCCTCCCCACCCACTTTCCCCTTCATTTTTGGCCCTTGTGCCTACCCCAGATGTGCCATCCCTTTTTTGCTATGGCCTTGGCAGACATGTTCCCAACAACCCTGGGAGTAGGAGGCAGGAAAGACCTAGAGGACAACGTGTGAGCCATTACAGCTCCTGGTACCTCTGGGTCACACAGCAAGGTCTCCTCCTCAAGTACTCCAGTGTTCCCCTGCACTTGACACCTCCTCTGATAAACAATAAAGATACCTGACTTGCTTCCTCAACCTCCTGTGGATTTTTCTTATCAGGCCACTATTTTTATACCCTTTGCTCTACAGTGTTCCTGAAAGACCACCACCATCCCTCTAACAGCAGCAGCATGGTACTACAGAAAAAGCACAAAGACAGTAGGCAGGAGAGTGAGCTTGCTCTGCTGCTGGCTAGCTGTGCTACCAGAAAAATCCTTCATTCCCTTTTGGGTCCCATTCTCCTCACTTTTATAATTCAGGGGTGGGTCCCAATCTTCAAGGCCTTATAATACTGATGTTTTTATGACCATGACTCACCTCACTATGGGGAGTCTGCTTTAGACTCTTCTCTGCTTTATCCACAAAGTCTTTTTCCTCAAAATACAAATAACTCTTGAACTTTATCAAAGCCTTGAAAATGGGAAAAAAAAAAAAAAAAGCACATTGAAGTATCAGGTACGTCATCATGGGGGAAAAAAAAGCCAGAGTCACACAAATAGCACTGAGTCCTTGAGCTCTACAACGAAAATTAAAAATCTTTGCGATTTGGTTTTGCTAGATTTTGAACTTCTATGTGCTTCTTAAAAAATACAAGATTGCATATGTTTGTTCAACATTTTCAATAAAGGCTGTAGTAAGAAAATCTGTGAGGAAATACAACATACAAATACATACTCTCACCACCACAAGAACACCCAGAAAAGTGGATATATTCACACCTTTACCCAATAATCTCAGTAAAGAAATGACAAGTTTACTGAGTTTAAAATCCCTTGTTGTATAAAAAACATTTCTTCCCTCCTAGTTTCCTCTTTCTCCCTTAGGTGGTCTCTGGGTCACCTCTTTCTTGCTGGTCCCCATGAGTCTAATTAACTATTTACTTCCAGACAAATATAAGATACTAATTTTTTTTTTCCTTTTTGTCTTTTTTCGTGACCGGTAACGGGATCGCAACCCTCAGTGTCGTGCCCGTACCACGACCGGCAACGGGATCGCAACCCTCGGTGTTGTGCCCGCACCACGCTCAACCAGTGAGCGAACCAGTCTCTATATGGGATCCGAACCCTCGGCGGGAGCACTGCCACGCTCCCAAGCGCCGCACTCTACCGAGTGCGCCACCGGGCCGGCCCAAGACATTAATTTTTTAAAATTTAATTTCTCAGCACATACATGTATTAAGCATGGTAAAAAAAAAAAAAAATTCACAAGACATACAAGCAGATAAAATGAAGAGCACCTATCACCATGTTCCTCACCCCCAGTTCCCCTTGCAAAATGCAATCACCATTCCAGCGTCCTGGTGTTCTTCCAGAGAACCTAGGCATACGCCAGTATCTTCAGAATTAAAAAACACCCATGAACAAAAAGTATACACCAGATAAACACAAAAAGGAACAAACAAAAAAAGCTATACAAGTGGTGACATACCACGGGGAGCCGGCCGGTTAGCTCAGTTGGTTAGAGCAAGGTGTTGTAACACCAAGGTCAAGGGTTCGGATCCCCATACCGGCCAGCTTTGCATCTTGGGTCTTTCACTCAACAATATACATTGGAGATCATTTTACATCAGTATCAGATCATTTTATATGAAGCTTTCAAACGGATCCAGAGGATTCTGTTGTATAAACATATTACTAACAAATTGTTTATTTAAATTAAAAGCAAATTTTTATAACATATATAAAAAAGTTAATAATTTTAAGGATTCCTATAGTATTCTCTGAGGTAACAGCAGACCTCTGTGTTCTGTAAAACCAGGAATTAGTGTGGCATAAATTTAAGGGTTCTAGATGGCAGGAGGTGAGATGAGAGCCAACTGTATGATGCAATCAGTAAAATGCGATCTTAGGCTGTTTATTATCAGAACAAACTTAAGAGGACTTCCACTACCCAATTTAAAGTCTTACCCTAAAGCTACAATAATCAAGACACTGAAGTACTGGCATAAAAGACAAGAAATAGATCACTCGAATATAGAGCCCATAGAGAAACCACTATGTATATAGTCATTTGATTTTCACCACAGGCACCAAAGAAATCCACGGCAGAAAGAAAGGAGTTTAACAAACGGTGCTGGAATAATTGGATATCCATATGGAAAAAAATTAACCCTGACCTCTCACCCACAAAAATTAATTTTTCCTTAAAATAATTAGGTGGACCAGAGATCTAAATGGAAAAGCTGAAACCATGTTTTCAAAGGAAAACATGGGAGAATATCATCATGACGTGGGGGGTAGCCAAAGATGTTTTAACTCACAGAAAGAAATATAACTATATTAAAAAAACTTGATAAATTAGACTTCATAAGAATTAAAATTCAGTTCATCAGAAGATACCATTAATAAAATAAAATAGACAAGTCACAGACTAGGAAAAAATATTTTTAAAATACCGTATCTGACAAAGGACTATAATCTAGAACATATATACGGAACTCCTACAACTCAACAGCAGCAAATAAGATAACCCAATTAAAAAACAAGCAAAGTATATGAACAGAAACATCACAAAAGAAGATAGATGAATGGCCAGTAAGCACATGAAAAAATGCTCAATATCATTAGTCATCAAAGAAATGCTAATTTAGGGCTGGCCCATGGCTCACTTGGGAGAATGCGGTGCTGATATCACCAAGGCCACAGGTTCAGATCCCTATATAGGGATGGCCGGTTAGCTTACTTGGGAGAGCGTGGTGCTGACAATACCAAGTGAAGGGTTAAGATCCCGTTACTGGTCATCTTTTATTTAAAAAAAAAAAAAAAAAAAAAAATTTAAACTACAATGAGATACTACTACAAATCTATCAAAATGGCTAAAATTAAGTTGACAGACAATAACAAATGTTGGCAACTAAAATTCTCATACATTATTGGTACTACAAATCTATCAAAATGGCTAAAATTAAGTTGACAGACAATAACAAATGTTGGCAACTAAAATTCTCATACATTATTGGTAGGAATGGAGTCTGGCAATTTCTACAAAACTAAATATATATAACTACCCTATGATCCAGTAATTCCACTTCTATATACTGACCCAAAAGAAATGAAAACATATGCCTACAAAAAGACTTGTACAAGAATGGTCATAACAACTTTGTAGTAGTCCCAAACCTGAAACAGCTTAATTGTCCATCAATAGGAAAATGGATAAACATACTATGTGGTACATTCACACAATGGAATACTATTCTGCAGGAAAAATGAACAAACTACAGATACATGGATGAATCTCAAAAGCATTATGCCAAATGATAAAAGCTGGATGGAATCAATTACATGATTCCATTTACTTAAGTTCAAGAATAGGCAAAAACTAAAGTACAGTGGGAAAAAAAATTAAAACAGTGGTTATGTCTATGGAGCTGGGCATGCGGGTTGACTGGGACAGGGCATCAGTTAACTTCTTGAGGTGATGGTAAGACTCTACACCTCGACAAGAGTTTCGGTCAAACTCAAAACTCAGTGAATGTACACTTAAATTTGTATATTTCATTTTATATAAATTTTATATCAAAAGAAAAAACTAAAAGAGGTTCAATTAGAGAAGAGAGCACGCCAGGGGTCTTGGGCAGAAGCCGAGAGCATCCCCCTCTGCCTGGAAGCAGGCAAGAAGCATGCCAAAAACACCACTTCCATGCAGGTGGCCCACCACAGTCACTGCCACCACAGGCATGGCTACTGAAAAAGTGGCTCAACACCACAGCAGCAGCCACAGCCACAGCCACCACGTAGGTGGCCCGCCAGACACTCGACTGCACTAACACAAAGAGAGTCACCAGAGGAGACCAGAAAAAAATAGGATGTCTCTTTCCTCAAAACCCACTCCAGAGCAATAGAAGAAACAACTGTTCTACCAGATGACCAGACATCAATGAAGGGATAGCAGAAACATGAAAACCCAAGAAAATATGACACCACCAAAAGAATACAGTAATTCTCAAATATCAGACCCTATAGAGAAGGAAATCCTTGAAATGACTGGACAGGATTTCCAAGCAACAATCTTAAGGAAACTCACTGAGATTCTAGAAGAGTAAGTTAGACAACATAATGAAATGAGAAAAAAAATCCAAGATACGATGAAGGAAATTTATAACAAGATTAATACCTTAAAAAAGAATGTAGCAGAACTCATGGAACTGAAAGATTCATTCAATGAAATAAAAAACACAACCAAGAGCTTAAGCAGCAGGCTAGAACAAGCAGATGAAAAAAATTCTGATCTTGAAGATAGTCTTTTTGAAATAATCCAGGCAGACAAAAAAAAATTTTTTTTTTTAAAAATGAAGAAAACCTGAGAGAGCTAGCAGACAACCTTAAGTGCACAAACATTCAAATCATGGGTGTTCCAGAAGGGAGGAGAAAGGAAAAGGCATGGAAAACCTATTCAACAAAATAATAACAGAAAACCTCCCAGGTAGAGGGAGAGACACGGACCTTTGGATCCAGGAGGCTCAAAGATCCCCAGATTCAACCCAAAAAGATCCTCTCTAAGGCACATAATAGTCAAACTTGAAAAGCTCAAAGACAAAATCTTAAAAGAAGCAAGAGAAAAGCATCCAGTCACATATATGGGAGCCCCTATCAGACTAACAGCAGGCTTCTAAACAGAAACTCCACAGGCCAGAAGAAAATGGCAAGATACATTCAAAACACTAAAAGAAAAAAACTGCCAGCCAAGAATACTATACCCAACATGGTTATCCTTCAGAAATAAGGGAAAAATAGTGTATTTTCCAGACAGACAAAAACTGCAGGAGTTCACCACCACATGACCAGCCCTACAAGAAATCCTCAAGGGAGTCCTGCATCTGGACTCTGAAAAATGATAATCACAATCACAAATACACAAGAAAGAATAACACCAACTAATAGAACAAAAATGTAAATGAGAAAGAGAAAGAAACTAAATCTCATCACCACAAAAAGCTATAATGACAATGTAATAATGTTCCCGCTTTCTTTCTGACTTTAGCAATTTCAGTTTTTTTTTCTTGGTCAGTCTAGATAAAGATTTGCAAATTTCATTGATATTTTTATAGAATCAACTTTTGGTTTTGTTGATTTTCTCTATTGTTTTTTAATTCCTTACTGCATATATTTCATTGTAAACTTTGTTATTTCCTAGTTATATCTGCTTTGTTTTAGTTTGCTCTTCTTCTTTTTCTATGTTCCTAAAGTAGAAGTTTACATTAATGATTTGAGATTTTTCTTATTCTTAATAAAGGTGTTTACAAGTATAAATTTTCTTCTAAGCACTGCATGAGCTCTGCATCCTATAAATTTTGATATGTTGCACTTTGATTTTTATCTCAAAGTACTCTCTAATTTCCCTGTGATTTTCCATTGTTTATTTAGGAGAGTGTTGTTTAATTTCCACACATTTGTGAATTCTCTAAATTTCCTTAGACTTGTTTAGTGGTCAAAAATTAAACAAACAAGCAAAAAACAGCGATATATCATTTTGATGGTATGCACCCTTGATGTTTTGAAAATGGCATTTTATATCTGTGGTCTTTCTCCAAAAATTCATGATTTCAGTGTAATCATGAAGAAAAATATCAAATAAATTCCAATAGGGAGGCATCCTACAAAATACTTGAAAAGTACTGCTCAAAACTGTTAAGATCATTTAAATCAAGGAAAGTCTAAGAAACTGTCACAGCCAAGAACCTACAGAGGCCTGACATGTGGTATTCTATATGGCTTCCTAGAACAAAAAAAGACTTTAGGTGAAAACTAAGGAAATGTGAATACATTATGGACTTTAGTTAATAATAATGTGTTGATATTGATTCATCAATTGTTAACAAATGTACCATTGTAATGTAAGATGTGCATTAAGGAAACCTGGGTACTAAGGTATATATGAGAATTCTGTATTATCTTCTCAACTTTTCTGTATGTCAAACTATTCTAATAGTAAAGTCTATTTTTTAAAAAAAGGTTGAATTAGAATTAGATGCTAATGATATACATCCTGAAGTACTTAGCAGGGAAGGGTACCGATGTCAGCCATTTTCTCTGTAGTGCATTAAAAAAAAGGTGATGGATGTGTGGAAGAATGAATGAATGACATGTAAATGGTGGAATCCATGTGCTGAGTACTTCAGCACTGACTCAAATTTTTCAGTTTTGTCGTTATCTCTAAAAATTTTCATTACAAAATGTTGGAAAAAAAGGTGAGCTGTGGGTCTGCATCACAAGAGAACACACAGGCCACAACTGTAGGCACTGGCCGCTGCACGTCCTCAAAGCCAGGAATCCCTCGGGGGAGGCCAAACTCACCTTATCTTTATAAGTGTCAGGCAGTGACTTGGCTGTCTCTGTGTCTTCAGGAAGATTTATATAAAATCCCAGGATGTCTCCCTGTCCATAGCCAGAAGAGTAGTGTTTGCCAATGGATTGGTGGAACTTGGTTCCCTTTTTGCTCCGCCAAGAATAACTAAATTTATCATAACCTAAGGGAGCCTGAAGGTTACCTGTCCCAATAAAAAGATATACAGGAAGTCAGAGGAGTACAAGTAAACTCTGGTTTGCTGAAGGAAAAAATTATACTCCTTTTTAAAAAATATTTTTTGTCAATTTTATAAAATTGCTTACAAACTACTTCTCACAAGAATTGTACAAATGTTCCAGGAACTGTAAATCAGCTAAACCCTCAGGAACTGAATTTTATGCCCATAGTCTGATAAACACAATGGTCTTGAAGCTTTAGCCAGATGGTCTATGTCTCTCCACCTGCTGTGTTTACCTAAGGGCTGGGACCTTACCTAAGGGCTGGGACCAACCCAGTCTCGCAGCAGTGTCTGGTGGCATCTCATCCACAGTGATTTCAAAGTACCAGGCACCCTTCCGTACCCCATGAGAGGCCCGCACCATAGAGTAGCCCTTCTCTCCAACCACAGTCAGCCGGTCATCGGAGATCTTTAACTGGGGAGCTGCAGTGATAGAGATTAAAACAGGCCTGCAAATTATTTGAGGTACTTGGGGACAATTGCCACAAAAATACAACTCCCTTAACACCCCAGTAGAACAAAGTAAAAAAATAAGATCTGGTCAGGTGTTTAAAATAATAGTTCAGGAGTTTAAAAATCTCAACAGAAGATACCAACAAAGGAGAGAGGAAGAAAAAGAAAGCAAGCTGTTAGGTAATCTAGTTTTTATTAAATGTGATTACAATAAAGATGACTGGTTAAAATTAATTATACTGCATATTCCCTAAAATGTAACAAACCAATTGTAATGTGTTTGGATCCAGATTTGAACAAAACATCCTTTAAAAAGATTTAACTATTTGAAAACAATTTTAGCCCTTAAAAAACTTAACTAATGTACAGATCATCTTCAAATTAAACCAATTATCCAAATAATACCCATTTTCCCATCCAGGATCTAGTCTAAGATCCCACATTTTTTTTAGTTGTCATGTCTCCTTAGTCTTCTCCAATCTAGAACAGATCCCCAACCTTTCATGGCCTTGACACTTTGAAGAGTATAGGTAACTTTAGTTTGTAGAACATCCCTCAATTAGGTTTGTCTGGTGTTTCCTCATGTTTAGGTCCAGGTTATTATTATTTTTTTAAGTCAGGAACCCTCGTGAAGTAACTCCGTGTACTCAGAGCACCCTATCAGAGGCATGTGACGCTGGCACAGTTTGGTCGCTTGGCTGTGGTGGTGCCTGCCAGGTTTCTCCACTGTGAAACTACTATTTTCCCTTTGTAATTAGTAAGTACCTTGTGGGAGTAAAAAGATATTTGAGACAATCAAGGAAATCTGACTACAAACTAAATTCAGATGACAGCAAGTAATAACTATTCCTTTAAGTATGATAACAAATTATTGTTATAAAAGAAAATATCCATATTTTTTAGAGATTCATATTTTTTAAGAGTACATAGGATAAGATTTATTTTTTTAAAAATTCAGAAAAAAAGAAGGACAAAGTAAAGGAACAGATAAAACAAATGTGGCAAAACCCTGGTAACTGTTAAAATTTGTATGGAAATTATATGGGTATTCACTGTAACTCATCTCTCTACCTTGTGTGTGGTTTGAATCTTACTTTACTACAAGGGCTTTATGTGAAATAAGAGGACAATCTAAATAATTGAAGGGGTTACTGTGACCTGAATATGAAGGAAAAAATTACAAAAGGTGAGAGTGTATTTCCAGGCTCTGAAGCTTGATTTTATTAGAGTACAAACATTTCCAACCTAATTAAGCCTTAACTAAGGAAAAAGCATTTTAAATAGTGTTTACCACACTCTGGAGTTGTCTGAATTCTATTGGAGGAAGCACAGAATTTCAGGTAGCTAGCTTTTACGAAGGCCTTTATGATTTACAAAGTACTTTCACAGATAGGTAAGTAGCTAGATGACAGACAAGACACACTCACGACCACCAGCTCCCCTGTGCACACAGAGAAGCACATCATGTGGCCGCTCAAGCTCACGCTGAACATCAGTGGCAGAGCTTCACTGAAACCCCAGCCCCACACTCTTCCTGTTACACAATACCTTTTATTAGGCAAATAGTCCTTAAATTAAATGCATGTTGTTAAACAGAACTTCCTTAGGTATTGGCAAATTAGACCTTCTTGAATACAAATACAACTTCTTTCTTCTTCCTAAGCAATTCAGTCCCAAAGCCATTAGGTGGGACTGAACAAGGCAAATGTCCATGATGGAACAGGGTATCGAAGAGCTCACCTCCTCACAAACACCTTATAATTACAAAGGGAAAAAGAGTGACTTAACGGCGGATAAGCCAGGCAAACACCACCCTACTAAAGTGATCAAAGTGAGTATCGCCAGTATGGGACAAATTACCATCTCTGCACCACCTGACAGGAAGTGATGAGGACACAACATCACACCTATGATATTCCTTTCAAAGATGTATAACTTGAATTAAATCATGAGGAACTAAACAAACCTAAACTGAGGGATGTTCTATAAAATAACTGGCTTGTAATTTTCAAAAGCATCAAGGTCCTGAAAGCCTAGGAAAGATGGAGAAACTGTTGCAGACTGAAGACAATTTATAAGACATGATGACTAAATGCAGCAAATGATTCTCACCTGGGTCCTTTCCTATACAGGACATTACTGGATGAACTGGAGAAACTTGAATAGGATCTGAGGATTAGACAGCAGTAATTAGATGCTAATTTCCAGATTCTGACAGGTATATATGGTTCTTTAAGAATGTGAGAGTTTAATAAAAATATCTACAAATTCTTTTGACACTCTTCCTTTCATGAACCAGAACCTAATTTCCCTCCACCCGAGTGTGGGCTGGACTTACTGACACATTTCTGATAAATAAAGTTTAAAGTGTCTGTCTGACTTCAGAGAACAGGTCATAAAAAGCACTGGAAACTCCTTGGTCTCTCTTGGATCACCTGCTTTGGGGAAAGTTAGCTGCTATAGATAAGGATAAATAAGCATCCCATGGAGAGGCCCACATGGTGAGGGACTGAGGGCGTCCTGTCAAAAGCCACAGGAGTGAGCCACCTTGGAAACAGATCCTCCAGCTTCTGTCAATCATCAGAGATGGTGGCCCTGGACAAACACTTGACTGCAACCTCACGAAATTTCCTGAGCCAGACAACACAGCTAAACCACTCCTAGATTCCTGACCTGAAAAAACTGTGGGAGACAATAAACACTTGCAGTTTCAGACTGCTATGGTGACTTGTCATGCAGCAGTGCATAACTTACACAAGGAGAATGTCCTTGTTTGTAAGAAATACACACTAAAGTTCTCAAAGATGACAAGGCATCATTACTCTCAAATGGTTCAGAACTGTATTTCTCTTAACTTTTTTGAAAGTCAGATTATCTCACAATTAAAAGTTTAAAAGATAATATAGATTTATCATTATTTTTTTTTTTAAAGATGACCAGTAAGGGGATCTTAATTAACCCTTGGCTTGGTGTTGTCAGCACCACGCTCAGCCGGTGAATGAACCGGCCATCCCTATATAGGGATCCGAACCCATGGCCTTGGTGTTATCAGCACCACACTTTAACCCTTGGCTTGGTGTTGTCAGCACCACGCTCAGCCGGTGAATGAACCGGCCATCCCTATATAGGGATCCGAACCCATGGCCTTGGTGTTATCAGCACCGCACTCTCCCGAGTGAGCCACAGGCCGGCCCTTATCATTAATTTTTATTAAGCTTACAGCAGGCTATGCTAATGTAAGGAGTTCTAACAAGTGACTGTTAATGGCTAGTATTCCTTCTCACTTTGTTTCCTACAGAGTAACAGTTATTAAGTGTAGTGAAACAAACAAGTCTCATTTCTTAATCCGTGAAGTCATGTATTTGGCCCTTCCCTACTATCAAAAAGTATGCCTTCACTAACAGGAGTCAAACTAATCCACATTTAATGGATATTACACCCCAGGTTATTCACTGTTGCTTTGTTTGTGGCTGCAAAATACTGGAAACAACCTAAACGTCCATACACAGGGTGGTTAAATAAACTCTGGTTCATTGACGTGATAGAGTCCCATGAAGCTATTAACAAAAACAAAAATTAGGATGGTCTCTTTGAGCTGGTATGGAATAACAGCACGGAACAAAATGCAAAAGATTATAGTATGCTGCGCTTCCTGTACGAAAAAAGGACATAAACGAATATATGTGGTGAGAGTGCAGCCCTGTAACACCAAGGTCAAGGGATTGGTTCCCCATACCGGCCAGCTGGCAAAAAAAGAGTATATGTATGTATCTGTTCACTTGAGGAAGACAGACGGGAGGGATAAACTAGGGGCAGGTGGTAAAGAGGTGGGAGGAGGAGGCTATGAAGATGGGGTTGAGGAATGAGGATGGAGAGACACTTTTTGGGTAAACCTTTTTGTACAACTCTGACTCTCGGAACTGAAGTAATGTTTCACATACTCCCCCCAAACACACACCTACCCACATACACGTGCACCCAAGACGTGGGAGAACACAACATGGCATCGCCACTGACAAATGCACCTAACTGAACATAACCACACTGAAGGAGGGGGGAGGAAAGAACTCACCTAAGTCAACATTATCTTGACTGGATACTACAAAACTAAAGACAAAAAGAGCTATAGTCGAGTCAGTAAATGTTGCTCGCAGGGGTTAGCAAGGCTGAAACTACTTTATGTGCATTTTATTTTTGTTGTGTTTTTTTTTTTCTTTTTTTTGGCAGCTGGCCGGTACAGGGATTGAACTCTGGACCTTGGTGTTATCAGCACCACGCTCTAACCAACTGAGCTAACTGGCCAGCCCTTTTTGTGCATATTAGAGATGAACAAATAAACAAATATATTGTAGATAATTATCTATTATTATCTATGTAATTAGAGTCAGGTTTCCCACCACTGGAGAAAGAAGTTACAAATAAGGGAAGGGGAAAGACTGGAATGGTTCCTCCAGTGGTGTTTGACGGGAATCCCAGGAAACAGTGTAAATCCCATGTAGCCCCATGTGCGGGTTAGTATACATACATACAATTCCTACGTCGGACCACTGAGGGAATTCCAGAAGCAATGACACCCAGTAATGGTAAGCATACTTGAAACTGGGGGACTGACCCCTGATTTCCCCTAGCTTCTCTTCTGACCCCAGTTAAAACAGGCCTCAGCTGGAGGAAGGGGGAAGTAGCAGAAGAAAAACTGCTTGACCAAGATGGATGGGCTACATTTCTAGGAATAGCAATAAAATTCAGTTAACAATAAGAGTAAAGTTAATTAAACATGTATTTCCTTACACTGAGATGTGTGTTCCTTGACAGGATGGCTTAAGACAATATCTGTGACTCCAGTCTCAAGCTGTCTTGCAGTTCACCATCAACCATCAGCCTGCTTTAAAGTACTTATACCCCAGACTCGAGGGAGCCAGGGAGGTATCAGTCAAGACACCAGGGATAATTATGCTGACTTTGACCCAAACCAGTCAGATTCCCACATGACCCCCGAGGACCCCCACTCATGATTCTGCTCTACAAATACTTCTGATTTTGAACTATTGAGGAGTTTGAGATCTTTAAGCTCTTTTAGCTGCCTTGATCTCCTGTGGCCACTCAAATGAACACTGTTCTTTATCATGCAAACTTTGGTGTGTGAGACTGCTTAGGTATTTGACACATCAGAGGACAGACCCCCTTCCTGGTTCAGTAACATACTTAACACCTAGATCTTAATTTCTAAACTCCATTCTCCAATCAGAGGAACAAAGTCTCCATGAAGAAGTAGCTGATACTAGGCCTGGGCCATGAAAAATACAAGATTAGCCAGGGAGGTGATGGATATGCGAATTATCCTGATTTGATCATTACACATCACACACATGAATCAAAATATCAGAGGCTGGCCTGTTAGCTTGGTGATTAGAGCGCGGTGCTGATAACACCAAGGTCAAGGGTTCATATCCCCATATAGGCCAGCTGCCAAAAAAAAAAAAAAAAAAGGTTAGCCAGAAACATCTTGTAATGCCAGAAAGAAAGCACTTAAAAAAAAAAAAGGGGGGCTTATTAAAAGAACGTAAGAACCAACTTGAAGAAACTCCTAATGGCTAGAGACCGAGTAATTTGAACAACAAAATAATTAAAGTATTGGATTTTGCCCCATAGAATAAAATAAATATCTATGAGTCCATACTGATATAAATATGATAGTAGTTGTTACAGACAAGATCTGCTCTTGGATGCTAAAATTAGTGGGCAAAACTTTATACAGAAACAGGATATTTGCACAGTCTCAAAGTATTTTCCCTAGGGTATTTATTGACTACAAAAAAAAGAAAGACAATAACTTTACAGAGAAAGCCAGCAGAACCACCTAAGCCAAATGATCATGGTCAATATAACCAATAAGATGACATCATGAACCCCATGAGATGATTCAATGAGAAGGAATCAGATCTGAGTTACTTTCTCCACACTGCATAACTTCCGTCTAATCATTAGAAAACATGAGACAAATTCTCTGAGGAACATTTGACAAAATAACCAATCAATACTCTTAAAAAGTATCATGGTCATGAAGACAAGCAAAGCCCGAGAGACTGCTAAAAATGTTAGAGATTGCAACAGACTAAGGAGAAATAACTAAGTGCAACATGAGATCCCAGAAAAAAGACATTAGTGGAAAAACTGATGAAATTTAAATAAGATCTTTAGCTTCATTAATAGTACTTACCAATATTAATTTCCTAGTTTTCAAAACTGTACCATGGTTGTGTAAGAGGTTCCCATTAGGACAAGCTCGATGAGAAAACTATTATTTTTGCAACTTTACTTAAGCTTAAAATTATTTCAAAATAGAAAGTTTTAAAAAACTATATAAACGTTATTTAAAATGACTAGAGCTTATAGGGAGAGAGAGAGAAGTAAACTATTTTGCACATTCTGGCTGAGTTTAGCTAGAGATGATGGATGGGGTGGTGGTAATAGACTGAGACGTCTATTTAATTCTAGGTTGGCCAAGGCTGATGACAGCAATTCTGAGCAACCCTGGGTCCACATGATCATTAATACCTTACATACCTCGATCGTGTAGGGCTAACAAAACTCTTTCGTACAAGCAGGCTCTGTAGAGGTCTCCAGGAATAGGTTTTCCTGCCCAACAGTCAAGTTCAAGCTTCTCAGGATCAGGGGCGTGGGGATCAGGCTCAGCTAGAATATACCGATAGCCATCTTTGTTAAATGGGTGTTCCAAAGGGTAGCCATGAGGGGGAAGGCGCTGAGCAGAAAACAAAGGGTCACTGCAGAAAGGAAAAAATGACATCAAGAAACTAAAACCCCCTCCAGCTCGACTGCATTCAATTCTGTAACAAAGACCTCTGATTTATTAGATTTCAGCTGGAACACATGTAACTTCATAACAAATACTTTTCAATACTCAAATAGATCATCCTGCCCTCTGCAGGCAAAGCAGGAAAATGAAAAGCATTAGCTTTATTTGGCAAAGTGGTTTTGGCTAAATTACTTGTAGTCTGTAGGGACCTTTCCGGTGGTCTTAAAGCATGAATTGATGTCTACAAAACTGAGTCAGTATGTCATAGGGGAGGAAGGAATGAGGGTGACTCAGGGCCATTTCCTTTAGTACGTTTACTATTATAAATCAATAAATAGAAGCTCAGAGACATGAGCACTTACTATCTGTTGTCAGCCTGACTAAGAAGTGACCCGGACTTCATCACCGCAGTATTGGACAAAGGGAAGGGCAGAGGCACGAGCGGGGAGAAGCGAGGGGGAGAAGTAAAGGGGCTGACGCTCTACTGCTTTCAGTCCCTCTCCCCATCTCCCCCTTCTCAAGATGACTTAACAAAACTTTACTCCCTAGGCTCATAACCAGAGGATACTGCCCTGGGTCCGTTTCTGTAGTAACAAGGTCATAAAATAGGACACCTAACCTGGGGTTATCTTACCCCTCAAACTTTGAAAAAAATCAACAGGGCTTTTTAGCCTCAGACGTTCGAGCTACTTAAGAATAGGGGTCTTTTCCCCTCTAGTGGACTTTGCCAGTGCCAAATAATATTCAAATGGTGATGGGTGGGGTAGGTGTTCTCCCCACCTCCGGGCCTTCTTGGTGGTCCCTGTGGTCCCTCCGTCCTGCTGTTTGCGCTTAGCTCCTCTTCCTTTTCCACTGCTTCCAGCTGCAATACCCCCTTTGAAGAGAAGGCAGATCACTTTCAATGAGGTGCAATGGAAGCACCTGTGGATACTGAAGTTCTGCGAGGCCTAACACAGCCAGTGAGCATTTGTGTAACACCACAGGAGGAGAGCCTTCCCAAAAGCATATTGGATTTCACCCTGGTTCTGAATGAATCCGCTGTCTCGCAGCCCAGAACACTGGGTTCTGGCAGTAAGCTCAAATGAATCCAGCAGTAGTAATACCTGTTACATTTCCAACCTTCCTTTCTTACTGAACTGAGACTATGAGTACACTTTCTCACGATGTGACACAAATGCATTTTCACGTCACACTGTGGGTGTCAGATTCCAAACACCCACAGCTAGAAAGAGTGAAAACAACTGCATGGATACAGTTTTTTTCCATCCAAATCAACACAAACATCCATAAAGAGAGAATTTCCTCACTGCAAGTCGACATTCTCTTGCTTGAACTGTGCGATAAATTCTATAAACATAACAGAGGCATAACAGAGTATCTGCTAAAGCACTTCACTTGAATAACCAACAAGACAAATACATCAAACAAGGAAAACAGAAACAGAAGTACTAAAAAGGTGTTTCTCTCCAGCGCTGCCAGATATCCATTGTGGTTGTACATGACAAAAGAAAGAAAGAAGACTGAATTCAGCAGGCAATTTTTAGTTCCATACCCATTCATCAATAAACATTTATTAAGATTATGCCAAGGCATAAAATTCAGGTTAGACTAATTTGGCTTGTGGAATTAAGAGCAAATAATATCATCAGACAATTCACATACTTTATACAAAAAACTGTAGCTACATACTAAGGCCCAAGGAATATTACCTCGAGTACTTATGAAATAGCTGCTTTGAAATTTTTGTCAAGTTCTATCATTCCCCTTAATTAGTTTTTTCCTCCTTTCCAGAAAATGTCACTCAACTGCAGAAAAACACCTTTTTATAAACAACTGCATGGAGTACTATATCTTAATTTGGGGCAAGCTTGGAAATTATCAGCAGTTCTGCTGAAATAAAAAGAATCAAGATATTGAGGGTAGGTCATATTCTGCACATACAGGACCAGGTTTATGCAGAATTTCCTTTTACAAACATGTCAGATGTTATTCCTATTTCTCATAAAAGGTTTAACATTAAATTGTTGCAATGTCATATCTCTAATTTGAGTTACCATAATCAAGAAATTATTACATTTTTTATTGTCATTTAATAATCAATTATTTTAAGAGAGAAGTTTTACACCCATCTTGAGCAGAATAAACAATAATAAGGGGACTGCTGGCCATGTTAGGCAGAATATGACAACATTCAAGCTTTTAATTACTAACATTTAACTGGAACTACTGTTTCATATTAAGTGCTATTGCCACCATTTTCACAATGCTTTGCAATTATTTAGTTTTAGCTTCTACCACAACTCAGCAAAAAGCATTTTCCAAACCACAAAATACTTAAGTCTGAGAGGCTGAAAGAAGACAGAGGAGGAATTCACCTCCAAAAGTGGCTCCACCTGTAAGAACAGAAGTGGCAACCATGTACTTGTCAAATTTTAACAATTAAAGGGAAAAACATGGTGTAACAAAGATAAACAACACACTTAGCTATTTCCAACCCATCTAATATTATTAGATCACTTTCAATGAGTGAAAATGACTACATATTTAAGATGTTACCATTCCAAAAGATAAGATAATGATGCCACAAGTCAAATGAATAGCTAGCTACCTCCCAGCTGTCCCAACTCTCATTAGATTATTATTAGTGATGAAGGGTATTCCCCTTAGATGGGCTAACAGAAAAACATGCTGCAGTGGGCGATCAATACAGAAATGCTGTCATATGAGTCAGCTGAAGTTTCAGGACAAGAAAGATGGGCACAGAAGTTTATTAAACAACAGATGAATTATGGAAAAAGAGTGCAGAGCAACTGAATCTTTTTTTTTTTCCCCAACTGAATCTTTCTAAGTTGAGTGTTAGTTCTGATATAGATGGGGAGTCTAACTGTAAACACAGGAAATCCGACCTTAAAATTGTACCTTGTTTTATGCTAAATCTGTCTCACTCAAGATCAAATTGTGTTGTAAAGTAATAAAAAAGCTCTCCTCCATTACCATCTGCCAAATCATTGGCTAGCTCCCAAAAATGGAGTTTTAAACTTTAAAGCATCCAGGTTAAGGGTCAACTCGACGAAATGTCTAATTCTAGGCACAATCGGATTCGATAGCTTAAAATTTTTTCTGCGATGAGACATTTAACCACTTACCATTTAGGTTCCCACTGGTAGACACGGCACTGCTTTGTTTTTGGTTGTCATAAGCGGGACCAATGTTACTAAGATCCTGGAAGAAAAAATATCCAATTAAAAAGGAGTCTACATAAGCAAGCCCACCCTGCAATGCTCTAAAAAATAGGAGAAATTCTAACAGAATGGGAACTGAAACTGACAATCCTAAAGTCTGAAACTTGCAGGGGTTCCAAACTTGGATTCTTCAGAGATCAGCAAGCATCCCTGCAAGCATGTGTGAGGCCTGCCAAGAGTTAAGGATCAGAGTGGTTTGAGAATGGTGATGGATGGCAATTGACCAATCAACCAGGGGTGGACGTAGTGGAGGATGCATGGCAATCTGGAGTGCTCAAGCCCCATTTACTCAGCTCCGCATGGGAATTCAGGCCTGGTGGAGTCAGATCTCATTTACAAGAGACAGAAATCTGAATTTCTAGGTGAAATCTCTATTTTCAAAGCTAACGAATCAAATCTTTTAAGGCACAGCTGAAAGACGGCCTTCTGAGTTGACAAATGTGACCCCTGCCATTTAACAAGAAGGAATTTTTCTATTATGCCAGATATGCAACACAAATTCTCCTTCACAACAAATTTTTCTTCACAACAAAAAACGTTTTTAAGAGCAAAATTTGAGATGGTAAGAAGATTAGACATAATTTGGAATGCCATTTTTATGTGTTACAAGTAAGGAAACTAAAGTTAAAAAAAAAAAAAAAGGTTTGCACAAAGTAGTAACAGTTTGGGGAAGAGCCAGAACACTAGTATCCTGTTCAGACGAGTGTTCTTTCCACCTGTTTCAATGACCATTTATGTGGAGTCCACTATGTTCTGGGCACTAATGGCAATGTGTTATGTGGCAAACACACAAACGTAAACAAGCCTGATTCCCTATCCCTAAACAGCTTAAAATAAAAAAAGGAATATAAGGCATATACCTGGTCCAAAAGTCCAAATTTGGGGTAATCTTCTTCTGGGTCTTTACTCCCAGGATCAGGGTGTTCCTTTACCAAAAATACATCTCTTTCTTTACTCTAAAAGGAAACAGCATTTTAGCATTAATGGAAATTAATACTTAGAAGTAAAGAATAGATGATCAACAACCAACTCCAAAACTCAATTCCTAGGTGTAGTCTCCAAAAAGTATTGTTTTTCACTCTGATTAGAAAATTAATACATGACCATCAAAAAAGTCACACAACAGAGAAACTTAAAGAGAGCCAAAGTCTTTCAAAACCTTCCATCCCATACAGATAAGCACTATTAACAACTTGCTGCTGACATCTCCCTAGATGCTCTCTTTAAGGACAATAACATCTAGAACAAGGTTTTTGGCTTTTTTATCAAGGAAAAAATGGTCTCAAATTTCAATATAAAATTATACTTGCATAAATGCAGTGGACAAGGTTTCAGTGCACAAAACTACCATGAGTGCAGGTGGTGGTCAATTAAGACACAACTATTGATTTTTTGCATGTGAAAACTATTAAGATTTACAATTAGTTATATCTCACTCAAAGATTTAATATTAAGTTGTTCTCATTTCCTCAGTCATCACATTATTTCACAGTGAGACTAAATAGAACGTAATTCTTATAAAGAACACAGGTTTTCAAAATGTCAAGTCTAATCAGTTTTAGTCTACTTACCATTGTTTTAACAATGTTATTTGGCCAAGTCATTTTCCCAGGTCTCTGTCTGGTTGTCATGCACTCCCAGTATTTATCAATAAATGGTATAATATCCTAATTTTAAAAATAAAAACCATTAAGACTTTTACAGTTGCCTTCAAAGTTATGCTCACAAAGGTAAACAGCAGCATTTCCAAAGACCATGTTGAATCATGAGAAAAATCCATGTTTAATCTTTCAATCTTTGAATATTTAACTGCACGTGAATAATATAGATTATGGGGATTTAAAACAAATTTATACAAATCTTAGCCACACAGGGCTTACAATCCAGTTGGAGGAAAAAGCTCTGTCGCATTCCCTTGGTTGTCAACTAGAAGATGACTCCCAAATTATTCTCTCCTGAGCTCCTGTTTCTGCCTGCTTGAGACATCTCCATCTGGATATCCTACCAGCACCTCAAACTTCCTGTGACTAAAATGGAACTCTGTATCTTACTTCATTGATCTGCTTTACAGATTTCTATTCTTGCTCTTAATACTCAGAATCACTGGCTGCCCAGAAGCATAAGCTAGACACCAGAGTCACCCTTGATTCTTCTCTCACAACCTTCATATCTTAACAGCAACCAAATGAATATTAACATTTCAGAAATTTCACACCAATCAGACCTCCTTTGCATCACCAATGCTTTGATTGTGGCCCCCATCAGCTCTTGCTTGTGTGAGTGAAACAATGTCTGACCTTGATCTTCTGGCATCAAAATTTCCCCATTTTAGATGATCTTCCAAAGTCTACCAACACCAGAGTTAGTTCCATGAAAACTAAATCTTTACTAAAAGGAACCAGGATTAAATCAGGGAAAGTACAAGGGAAGCCTGGAACATTTTGTTGTTCCAGAAAGAAAGACAGACAGAATTCAAAAACTGATGGTGACATATCAAAAACTTTCAGGAGTCAGCCTGATAGCACTATATTGGTCGTATCTGGGACAATCTGAGTATCAGAAATACATCGATTTTTAAAAATCCATGAATCCAGTGATATTTAAAGAAGAAAAAGGATAAGGAAAAGCTCTTTACGAAAGAATTGCAACCAATAAATATATTGCTCTACAACCACCTCTCTATTAACTGATTCAGGCTAGGATAATCGATGGTGGCTGTCATTTAATAATCACAAAGATAAAAAGGTCCCTTTATAATGGAGAAATGTGGTAGATACCTCCTTCTTAACCACCTAGTCAAATTTAGGATCACCAATAATAAAACAAACCAATAACTTATACCTCATGAGGGTACTTCAAAAAGTTCACAGAAAAATAGAATTAAAAGATAACGCAAATCTTTCCATGAACTTTTTGAAGCACCTCCATATAAACTATATATTACTCTTGCCAAAAATGTTTCACCTGAACCTAATCATGAGGAAACAATCAGATGAATAGAAACTGAGGAATATCATGACAAACTGTCTAGACTCGTCAAAATTTTAAATGTCAGAGCAGACCAAAAAAAGTAAAATAAATAAATAAAGGAATTGTTGCAGATTAGAGAGAAAAGAGTCATTACAATTAAATGTAATGTGTGATCCTGATTGGATCCTGGATGGAGAAAAAAGCCATGAAAGGTATTATTAAGACAATAATAATGTGAACATATGAATGTAAACTCTATATTAGATAGTATTATTGCCTTGACATTAAATTTTTTGAGTATGATCACCATACTGTGGTTGTAAGACAGAACATCAAGTGAAGCATAATACCTACAATTTAGTCTCATACAGCTTAGGAGGAAAATATAGATATAGGGAGATAAAGCAAAAGCAGCAAATATTAACAACTGGCAAATCTAGGTAAAAAATAAATGGAAGTTCATTGTACTAATTTTTCTGTAGGCTTGAAAATTCTTAAAATAATAATTTGGCAAAAACTAAACTAAGAAGAAAAAACCCAAGTGTAATCACACTTCCCTTTTAAAATACTTTTAATATAGGGGGAAAGAAGTGTGGGGGACCCTCTGCTGACTGTTCCAGCTTATAAGATTAAGCACAAATTTCTGTTTAGCAGACAACAACTGTGTCAATCTGATACAGACAGTACCAGTCTCATGACACATTCTACTCCAGTGTTTTTCAAACTGTAGGTCACAATCAATCTGGATGTTATAAAATCAATTTCATAGGTCAAAACTATCATTGACCAGAATATAAAATATCAAAGCACAGAGGGAAAAGTCAGAGAGTAAGCAGTGTTTTGTGAAACTTTTGTTTCAGTTTTAAATGAAAGTGGGTTGGTATAAATGTATACTAGGTCACAACGTAAACTCCATTATTTTTAAAGTTTACTTATTTTTCATATTTCTTACTATGAATCACAGTTGGAAAGACTCATGGATGGGCTAATCACCTATGAGGGGTCTACAAAAAGTTCACAGAAAATGCGTATTATGAAAAAACTATGCCTGGATTTCAAAATTTTTT